GTCGTGGCGCGGCTGTCCAGCACGCCGGGTCTCCCGGAGTGGAAACCGGCTTCGGCAACGTGAGCCGGGGATCGGCGCCAGCCCCGTTTGGAGCCGCGTTGGTGTGCGGCCCTCGAGCGTTTCAGCGCAGTTCAGCTTCAGGAGGCTCTTCCGCTCGCGGGGGAAGCGCCCCGGTACGGGCGGCTCGGGGGCGTTTCGAACACGCTGTTCCTGGCCGGTTTCCTTCCCAACGCCCGTGGGTGTCGGTATGTGCCCCTCGGCTGGTTCTGGAGCAGGGGCGGCTGTAAGCGTGGGCATCCATCTTCTGGTTTCCTGGCCGAATTCCAATCATCTTTTATTATTCAGCTTTCTCAAATTACTCCAAGCCTCACTGTGGTGGTTGAGTCTAACTTGATGATTTGGGGTGTAAAGCTTTATACTAGAAAGCAAGGCAGCCTGACGCTCTAACACAGGCATTTAGTGTATGGTAGAGGCTCCTTTCTTGCAGGTGTGAAGGCATTGTGCTGAACAGTCCCGGTCTAGGTGTGGAGGATTGCTGATGGTGCTTCTTCATTCTGGGCTCCCAAAATTAACAATACTGTAGTCACTGCAGCTTGGGCTTCTGCTCTTCTGCTAGGCTAGCATGAATACGTGTAACTTCCAAAGAAGCTGAGAGAGTGAGTTGAATTTTCCTGGTTTTGCTGTTAGCAGGTATGTTAAGACCATGGAATAAAGGCCTGCAAGTAACTTGTGCAGTGTGGCATGAAATACTGAGCGCCCTGGGAAAGTCTTGCTTGTGAAAGAGGCCTTACATGATTGCCTCGCAAAAAGCTGTGTTCAGCCAGTTGTTTAGACAGACAGAAGGGTAGGTAACCAATGCTTTCAGGAAATGCATTGTTGCAGAGAGGTTGAAATAAATTATTGAAATAACTGTGGTTGTAAGTAATGGAGAAGTAGGAACAGAAGCTGCAGAAGCTTATAAAGTTTTGTTATTGCGAAGTGATGCTTGCAGCTTATTTGGATGCTGTCTAAATGATGAATGAGTAAGCTGAACATTGCATTGGTGCAGACAACTTCATCTCGAATGTTCTGATGTTTACTGGGACACTTGGGGAGCACTGGTATTTTACGTCTGTATTTATTGAGGAGCCAGGGAAAGTACAAATTATGCAAATATTGAATGCTGGAAAAGTATTGAATAGCCTAGGAAGCTGAGGGGTTTCTTTGTCGCTTGAAGCGTGGCTATTGGTTTGTATCATGCTGTCCTGAGGTAGTTTGATCAAGTGTGTGAGGAGATGCAGACACAGTAAAACAGCATTTTCTTCTTAAGGGGCAGCTGAGGCACTTGTTCTGAAGAGACAAAGCAGCTGGATATCTAAAGGATGCAGTGCTGATGTAATGCATGTTGTATTATTTGAGTAATACATTTGTATTACTTTGAGTCCAAGTGGGTAGTTTGAGTTGTGCTGTTGGAGTAAGAGTGGTATTCCTGGCTATTGCTGCTTTACTCCATAGCAAGTATTTACTTCCTTAGGTTATCCATGTTTTAAAATACATATAATTACTTCACTGAAGTCTGAATACGTGTTTCATAAAGCAGTCTGTGATCCTCTGATCAATGGGTGGGTGACTTTTTCCCTTCCTGTAGTGTAAGGGAATCATGCACTACATAATTATTTTGTCTGGTTTTTGGTGGTGCGAGCACTTGCTGTGCCACTGCTCTCAAATATTCCAGACACATTTATTCATTCTGAGGTTGACTGTTTTATAAAATATAGCAATAACTCTTTTAAAGTTGTAAGCATCATCCTCAGTATTCCAGTTAGAAACTTCACTCTATAATCAGTAACTTTGTTAAAAGTTTAACCCGGTTTTGTTTTGTTTGTTTGGTTGGTTGTTTTTTTTCCCCCTATCATGTTGCTTTTTTATAACTCAGTGTAAAAATGGAAAAAAAAAATCTCTGGAGCCTGTCTTACCACAATATGTAGTAGTTCTTAATCTTTAGTTAAAAATAACATGGATAAAATTACATAAATTATGTGTCTTAGTTTTTGATGTTCGAAATTATCTCATTTGATTCGTATGAAAGAACACATTTTCTGAAACCATGTACAACTGGTATATTTCTGAGTGTCTACTAATACAGCTCCTGACTGGATCCTTGTGGGAGGGAGCTATTTATAGATGTCCATTCATTAACTTTGTCATGCAAGAATGCTTTTGATGTGTTCTCTTGAAGCAATGACTTTATAAGTGAAAGAGATGACATACACTGTATTTATTGTGAAATACTGACTATTCAGAACTGATTAGGTTATTTGCAAAGAAGTCGGACACACGTTTTCTGTTAGGAAGTATCCTGATTAAATTTCAGCTATGACTGATTTTCTTGTTCTCTACAAAGTTCATGTTAAGTTACCTGTTAATTACTGACTGGGTTTTTTTGTTTCTCTAATAGCAAATTCCTTATTTATGCTTGCCTGCTGCTTTTTTCTGTGTTGCTCTCTCTACGTCTGGATGACAAAATTCAGTGGAGTTACTGGGCTGTATTTGCTCCAATATGGCTGTGGAAGTTAATGGTGATTGTTGGTGCCTCAGTGGGAACAGGAGTATGGGCCCGAAACCCACAGTATCGGTAAGTTGAGGATATTCGCTTTGCAAAACACAGGGAACATAATGCATTTTTCTGTACTGAATCAAATTAATAAATAGGTTTTGTTAAGGACTTAAAATGTAGCATCCAGTAGGTTTGTTTTCAACATATTTAAAATAATTTTCATAACCTGTAGTGTATGCAAGCAGCTTTATGCAGCTATGGGTGCCTTAATCCTAGTTGCAGCAGTTTATCGCAGGCTTTAACAATGTTGTTTTCGGGAAAGTAAAGCTTCTCACGAAGTGACTTTCTGCATTTCTCTGTTAGAAAGTTGTGAATTCTTTGCTTTAGCGTAAGCTATATAGAAATATGTGTCTTCATATGCACTAGGAATATGCTGTATTTAATTGGGTTATTTTCTAAATCAGTTTCCTGAAATGTACAGATCAGCTTGAAGAATGAGTTTTCTTTTTTCCTTCTTGATGTATATACAACCTCAGTGAACATGTGGATGAATATTCAGTGATTCTTGAATATGCAGTGAACATAGAGAATTTTTTTTCAGTCTAGGGTTAAGTATCTTTCAGACCTTTAAATACATCAGTGTTTGGTAATCAGAGTAGGATGTGAAGTTAAACATGCTGGAGGAAAGAAAAACTATCTTAACTGAAGTGCAATAAATTCTGTGTTCTTTTCTACTTATAGTGAATATTAAATGAAAAATTTTGTGCACAGGTCTCATTCCGACACACAATATTGTGTGGTTCAGGTCTTCTTTGCCCCTTATAGGAATGGTTCTACTTGGGTAGGAAAAAGTGTGGTTTCTCTGTGTGTGCTGTTATTTTACAGGCATTTTAAGTTTTAGTAATAGATAATATTCTACTGCAATATGCTGATTTCAGTGAATAAAGACATTCTGGGGAAAGATGCTGATTCAAGGAAAGCTGGGGCAGTAACCAAACATAATTTTAGACTTAGATATCATGCAGGCTGTTAGGAAATAAGGTGACTGTTTATGCAGTAGCAAAGAAATTTTGTTGTATCTGCACAACTATGGAATCCTTGAAAACTTTGCAAGTTGTGAAAATGCCACTGCTGCTTCCTCTGTAAAATACTTTAAATGCGCAGCTTTATGGGCGAGAAATCCTGTTACACCATCAGAAGTGTAATTTAATAGTGGTTATTTGGGTATAATGTGTACATTTATTACCAACAAGTGCTGATATGTGAAACTTAACAATTGTAAACTAAGTGTCTTGGGATGTTTGCAGGACAGCGTGCTTTCTTAGTGACAAGTGAAACGAATGCTTCCTTATCCTGTCTTTAGAGCAGAAGGAGAAACCTGTGTGGAGTTCAAAGCTATGTTAATTGCAGTGGGCATCCACCTGCTCTTGCTGATGTTTGAAGTTCTGGTGTGTGACAGGATCGAAAGAGGAACCCATTTCTGGCTTCTGGTCTTCATGCCGTTATTCTTTGTATCTCCAGTGTCGGTTGCAGCTTGCGTGTGGGGGTTCCGACACGACAGGTCTCTGGAGGTAACGCTTCATTCGTTATGTGTGAAACTTGTGGCATGACTGCATCAGTCGGATTAATTGTTTGCACTGACCTGCTAGAGTGAAAAATCGGGAATAATATAATTTTTTCTAATATCTTCAATTTTTTTTCAGCTACCAAATTACAGCATGTTTTAAACCTGCCTTTTTATTAGTGTATGTTAAAAGAACTCACCACAAACCCTGCAATATGGACTAATGCTACACACTTAAACAGCAGTTACTGAAGAGAATTCCATTAATAGTAAGCACTGTCTCTAGGCAGAACTAAACCTCCAGAGCCCTGGACAATCAGGGTTGAAAACTTCTTATTATCCCAATCTGTGTGCTTCATCTTTAATTTTGGAATGTGGATGATAGGCAGAGAACAGTAGGTCTGGGTTTTTTTTTCACCTCTCTCTTCTTTCCTCTCTAACTCACTCTTTTTGGTGTTGGAAGAACTTCATATGGATTCTCAAGGTCTTCCCATGGTTGTGGCATCTTGCAATAAATTCATAATTCTTACTCAGTTGATATCTTTAAAGGACTTTTTTTTGCTCTGTCCTCAAACTAGCCCATGACAACTAAAAATTGGCTTTTAAATGAGGTTCAGCTTTTTCAGTTGTTTTGATTTCAAGGGAATACGTTCTCTAACATTAGCATAAGCAGAGTTTATTTCTAGAGAGAAACAGTCCTGGTAGGTTATTGTTAGAATGGCTGGTGAACGTAAGTTGTTGATTCAAAAATCTTGCAAACAGAATTCCATTTTGCAGAGTTGTATTCACAGTTAACTGTTCCTAAAAGTAAAACTTGTGTAGAAGTACTTGCCTTGCACTGGATGATGCTTGATTGCCCATAGATTTACAGATGGCTGCACAGCTGCGAAGTACTGGCAGAAAAGAACATAATGCACTCACCCCTAAAAGGCAACAGCGGTCTCAGAGAAAATTAGTTACGCAGTTGAACTGTCAATGTTTCTTTTTTTACTATTTTGTCAGCTTCACTTAGTGCTGTTCTGCTTTTTCACCCTGGGAAGTTTCATTATTTCCCTTTCATTTGCTAGAAACGTTAGATTGAAGACAGGCCCATCTTGAGTATTAATTTTTGGCATGCATAAAGTGTTTGGTAATCTATTATTATTTTCATAATTATTTAATCTGAAAAGATAGTCTGCTTGTTCCTATTCTGAAACTGATTAGGTGATCAGTAAGTTCACAGTAGGGTTTTGTCTGTATCACAGTGGGCTCAGGAAAAGCTTTCTTCTGCCCTACACTGCTTTTACAGTTACTAAAGCACCGTATGTTTAAGGCGTAGTGAGTGAGTTCAGTTGTGAGCCTAGCCACTCGCATACATGTTGCTCAAATGCTAACTTGATTCTAAAAATTATAGCAACTGATTCTCTAATTTTGTTATTTTCTATTTGCTCTTCAAGTTGCTTGGTCTTGTGCTTGAGTGTGGGTTTTTTTTGGTGGCTTCTTTTGAGAAAGCCAGTGGTACAAAATATATTTTAAACCTAGTTTTCCAGTATTTTTGAAGTAACCTGTAACCTATTTTTGAAGTAACCTACAGTCTCTGAA